GTTCAAGGACCAGTCATAAGCCACTTTTTTCAGTGCCATTGTAACTTCAAATAGTTGCTAAATTAATGGTGCTAAGTTGAGGACTATCCATACAGTATCACCATTGTTGATTTTCCAGGCCAGGGAAAAAGTTTGGTCTAAATCTCTACACAGCCACATGCCTATAAAATAATACAATCTTGATATAATGGGGGGGGGGGAAAGCTCTACAACAATTCCACTCTTTCTCAAACTGCACAATTTTGTCATGTTCTCATCCTAAATCTGTTAGAGCATGTCATGAAGCAATTTCCCACAGGTCAAACCAGATGGGGCTGATACTGTTCTGCCCAGCCCTGGAGCAAATAGCTTTCTTAAACTGCCAAGCAAGCAATCCTTGTACAGGTTTTTAAAGCTCTGAAAGAGGAACACACCTGGATGAATTTTTAATTTACTCTTTCAGGCAAAAGCTTGCTTTTTTTGTGCCAAGGCATTTACCGTTCTAACATGCTAAGAACAAATTACAAAGCCAAGTGTAACCCTTCTCATGTGATTTAACTAGTCCTTCCCTCTTCTGTCTTTCCTCAGGGCCTTCAGTCTATTGCAGTGTTTCTCAACCTCAGCAACTTAAAGATGGGTGGACTTCAACTCCCAGAATTCCCCAGTGATTTCTGCTAGTTGAAGTCCACCCATCTTCAAGTTGTTGAAGTTAAGAAACACTGATCTATCTAAAAGAGGAAGACTATCACACACACACTTTCTATTGCAATAGTCCCTTAGCTGAGAATCCTCAAATTTGGGGACTTTGCGGACATTTAAGTGATTTATGCCTGATTGTATGACTCTTTTGCTATGGTCATTAAGCAAATCGCTGCAATCATTAACCAAATCCATCTTCTCTCATTTGAAGCCTCCTGGGAACTTGCAAATGGCGATCACATGATCCTGCAACCATTGTAAATACATGCTGGTTATGAAGCACCCAAATTTTGATCATGTCACTACCAGGATGCTGCAATAATCATCACTTTTTTTCAGTGCTGTGGTCCTTTGAATGGTTATTAAATGAATTGTCAAGGACTATCTGTACTTCACAGGATTATTGTGGGAGGAAATGTGTACGCTTAACCAGCAATTAGTAAATAACAACAAAAAAACCCCAATATATGTCTGATTTTTATTGTACATTTTTTCCATCTATTTAAGAGTTTCCACTGGAAAAAAAAACCCAAATTATTGATCTTCCACATTCTTAATTACTTAATTTGCAGCACTTCCAAGCAAATACAAAGACATTCCATTTAAATTCAAATGTTGCCCATGTGATGGAGTAACTGAAACCACCAAACCTATTTTATGACACCGACCACTATACCAGACCCTTGCCCTGAAGCATAACCCCACACCTAATTAAATATCTTGGTCATTCAGTTTTATTTTCAGATTCAAATGGTTCCGTTTCCTTACAAGTGGCCAGATGTTTTTAGGTGATAGGAAAGATGTGCAACAGATCGCCTGATTGATCTGTTTACAGGGCCTAATTGGTTAATCAATATCAGTTTTCTGTATGTAAGGTGTTTTATGGACTGGTCATTGACTGCGGTCATTTTTATTGTCATCCAGAATTATGTACCACCATTGCCTTCAGTTTTAGAAGGAAATAAAGCAGAAGCATGATTTGCCATAGCTCTGGGTTGAAAATACCTCTTTGATTTACCACAAGTTTAATTGCTGGCATTGCTGGCATTGCTGGCTAAAACTGAGAAATATTTCTACTTCACCAGGTACCTCAATTTGACCCATTTATGGTGAAGTATAAATCACATTACAGGATTAGTCAAGCACACTATATTGCCCAATTAATATTGTCAGTGGATAATATTACCCTGGATGAGTCATGTATTCAAAGCCTCCATCCTTGAGAGGTTATGGCAAATCAGAGCTGAGTCTCTCTCTCTTCTCCACAATGGGAAAAATGCCAAATAGTGGCATCAGACTAATGGCCTACATCAGAAATACCAGCGCATCCACGCAATGTCCTGCTCACAACATTTTTCCTCACATGGGGTGGGAGGGAAGAGGATAAAGAATTAAACTCTTGCCTAGCAATCAAAAAATTCTCCCGTTTAACTTCTGAAACATCACACAAAGCTTCAGAATTCTGCACAGGCTACAGATTCCTGAAAATTTTGGCATCAGCATAAATGCTCATAGCGGCTTCTAGCATTTGCAAAAATCAAGCAGATTCCAAATATCAGGGAAGCTTCTGAACTCCATTAACTCCCAGCAGGATTGAAGAACACCCCATTTTGGTTAGAGCTGTTTCGCTGAGGATCACTGTGAGGAAATAGTTGTCTTAAAAGAGCATGCTAAAAACTGAAAGAGCATCCAAGATTCCAGGGAAATCAAGGTTTTAGATTAATAATCTCAGCTTTGTCTCAAGGGTACCTGTACTATATTAACGTGTCTCGGAGGATCGTTGTGTTTTGCAGAGGTTTCTGCACCGCATTTGCTTGGACAGATGTAGGACACAGCCCAGGTATGCTGTTTTGCTATTGCCTGCAGCAGATATTATTGTTGAATTAACAAAAGAAGCCTTGTGCCACCATAAAGATAGCCACATTGTGCTAAAAAAGTAACACAATCCCCATATTGCTTTTACAAAAATAAGGGCACACCCATATCTAGCAAAATGAGAAAATTATACCGTGCCGAAATTTGTGACACAACTGTATCCACTCTGCTTCTTCTCTCACAAGTTGTTTTCAGCTCCAAAAATTAAACTCAGATTATAGCTATCCTGGTCCTAATTTTGCATTGGCAGAAGCTGCCCATTTTTGCGATTTTTATGACCCACTTCATTTGGTAGATTGGAAGAAAGGGAGTGAAAATCAGTGTGTCAAGCTCTGTTGCCTTTGGCTTACCAACACATGTTATGGGTTTAAAAAGGACATGCCAGGGAGATTTGTGGCAGGGCAGGAAAGGGAATTTTGTTTGCAGCTCCTATAACTTTAGCCATCTGCCAAATCAGAACCATCTTTCTGAAGTTGTGTCATTTGGCTTGACTTAAAAACACCAAACGTGCACAAACCTGAAGGCCACCGTCTAGGCTAGGGCAAAAAGTATTGTACTTTGCCAACACGACATCCAATTTTTGATCCCTTAAGCAGGTATGAGCAAGTGAAACCCATTAACCTACATAAGGCTCTCAGGTGTAATTAGTTGTGGATTTTCCAGTTGCTTCCAATCACAACTGCAAGAATTCTCTACCGCCCTGAGGCAGAAGAGACATGAAATGCATAGTGAAAGTGGTAAAACAGGCTCAATGTAATTTTTATAAAGCAGAAGCCCACCAAAGATATTATCTATCCTCTCTGAGTCTTGCCCTCCTGTTACATATAACTATAACCAAAGACAGCAGGTGCTGGCCTAGAAACCAAGAGACTGTGAGTTCTGGGCCTGCCTTAAAACATGAAAACCAGCTTTGCATCAAATGTCTATGGAGATTCTCAGTCATCCAGGTCATGGTTATCCCAAAGGTGGTTTTCAAGAGGCAACTGGACTTCTTTTGTTTTTACTTGAAGATAGAATAGAGCTGGAAGGGACCCTGGAGGTCTTCTAGTCCAGCCCCCTGCTCAAGCAGGAGGATCTATACCAGGGGTAAGGAACCTTGGCTCTTTTATGACTTGTGGACTTCAATACCCAGAATTCCTGAACCAGTCATAAAAGAACCAAGGTTCCCTACCCCTGACCTATACCATCTTAGACAAGTAACTATCTAGCCTCTTCTTAGCTTATTCTTATAAGCTTTCTTCTTGTAATCTTATATATTATTTATATTTTGCTTCCCAGCCAAGAACATGAACTGAAAAAGCTTCTTGGAAGAGAAGCAAAACGTCTTTAAGGAAAAACAAAGGAAGTCCAGTTGTCTCATGAAAAAGCACCTTTGGGATAGCTTTGGGCCAGTCCCTCTGACTCAGCCCAAATCACCTCACAGGATTGTTATGGTAGGGAAAACGGGGGAGGAGTATTAGATAATTCACCACAGAAAGAGATTTTTAAAAAATCCCACCTGCATTCATACAACTTGTGAATCATGCATAACCTTATCCTTTGTTAGACTTTTTTAACTGCTTAGCCTATGGTATGAACCCAAGCCAGGTTAATTTATCCAGAAAGTGGGATAATTCAATAATCAATCATTCAATTTTGCAACCATAAACAATTGAATTATCAATTATATCAATCGTGAGAACACTACTTGACAGTGGCTTTTCCCCTTCTGGCACCTTCCAAAGAGGTCAGCTTTCAATCCCTACAATCCTTAGCTAGCATGGAAATGGAGCTATATACTCAGTGAGATGATATACAGATAGTCCTCGACTTATCACAACTGAACCCAAAATTTCTCTTGCTAAGTGAGACAGTTATGTTTTGCCCCATTTTATGACATTTCTTGTCATAGTGGCTAAGAGAATCACTGCAGTTGTTAAAGTTAGTAACACAATTATTAAGTGAATCTGGCTTGCCCATCGACTTTGCTTCTCAGAAGGCTGCAAAAGGGTGGGGGGGTGTCACATGATCGTGGGACACTGCAACCGTCATAAATACGAGTCAGTTGCCAAGCGTCCAAATTTTGATCACATGACCATGAGTGAAAAGTGATATAAGTCACTCTTTTCAGTGCTTTGAACAGTCTCTAAATAAATGGTTGTAAGTCAAGGTCTATCTGTGTTGATAAGTATTTTACTTAAAAAAAAACAAAAATGAATCATGGACCAAAGTAGTTCAGAAAGCAAACTCTTCATTGAAGTCTCGGTCTGTTCAGAACCATTCAGCATTGAGCAGAGCCCTTTGGATCTACATTCACCTCACATGCAACTCCATGACAAGAATACCACTCAAGAAGAAACAAGAAATTCAAGGTTCACGCATTAACCAGACACCTGTTTTGAAAAAAGGAGGTTTCACCCCACATCACCTATCCCTTCCTCACAACACCATCACGCTGGAGGCCAACAGGAAGAGATCACCATATCTTTATTGATCATCTCTTGTAGTCAAGGAGAGCCGGAGTTGATGATCCAGGGGACCATAGAGAAGAGGTGGCCCCACCATAGTTTACCACAGTATAATCCCAACCTGGATTCTATGAAAAGGAGATATTAGGGAAAAAAATTAGCCAGGTGGCTATTCAAGGAGTCCAACAGTAAAATGCAAAGCTCCATGTTGAGGATGAAGGTGTATCAGGGGATGCCCAATGGAATGGTGAAGGAAAGGTAGTCGCCAAGTTCACCCCACTCGGCCCGGCGTGCCTGGAAGATGGAGATCCATGTTGTGAGCACAATCACCCAGAAAAGGAGGCCTAAGGCTGACCGCTGGACATCTGTGAAGAGGTAGAAAGAAATGACCAGAAAATAATTAAGTATTCCTTCTTTTCCCCTTCAGTGCTTTTTCTCCCCTCATCGAGAACCGAGTGCCGGTCAGGGCTGCTGTCTTAAGACATGCTGTACACCAAAGGTCCCCAACCTTTCGGGCACCAGGGACCAGTTCTGTGGAGAGAGATTTTTCCACGGACCAGAGGGTACGTGGTTTTGTGTGCTACCTGCATCCTGCGGATGGAGCTTTGCTTGTTTGTGCGGACCGGTTGCTAGCATGCCGTGGCCCGGTACTGGTCCACGGTCTGGGGGTTGGGGACCCCTGCTGTACACACTAGAATCCCCTCCTGCCTCTCCCCCCATGGGAAACTCACAGCGCTTGATCTGAAGCTGCTCAGTGTAGGCTGTTGCAAAAAAGGCCTCTCGGAAAAACCAGATAACGTTCACCAGCCACAGGAAAGGGAGCAGAGCGAAGCCACCTAAAGAGATGGGAGAAAGACACTATCTTACCCCCCTGGTAGAATTTTCTTCAAGGGATGGCATGGGAAAAAAAAGAGATTTTCACAAGGGCTTCATGAACAGAAAAGTGCATTTGTCCTAATTGGTTTTCCTCTTCACGAACTCAAGTTCAGAAAGAAAGTAAAGATTGTTTGAATCACAAATCCTTGTTTTCAGTGGATTATATTTCCCAATACCTGCGCTCCTTAATCCCCAAAGTCTAGATCTGTTCTCCTCAACCATGTCCCTCCCAATTCCACATTTTCACCACTACAATGCATAGAGGTAGATGATCTGCACACAGCTGTCCATGGACACTCAAGGCTGAAATTGACTGCAATTATTTTCTTGCTACACCCTATTATAATTTTTTTTTGTCCACTGCCAAAAAATTGAGAGTGAACAAGGAAGCCTAAAATGATTCTTGCAAGTTTGGTAAGGGGGCACTGAGCTAGAAAACAGGAAATCCTATGATCCAGTCCTTATTTAGGAAGAAGTGCCACTGAGGGGCTTTGAGCCAGTTTCTCTCAGCCCAACCTACCTCACAGGATTGTTGTTTCAGGGAAAATAGGGGGTAGGAACATTAACTGTCTGGAGTTGATCAGATATGATCAACAATCTCATAAACAACCAGTCAAAATTTAAGTTTGTTTCCCTACCTGGAAGCAATGTGTAGATCACATCGTGACTGGCTGTAAGCGGAGGGCATATATGGGTCCAGTATCTGATTTTTTTTTTAATATAAACAATGCTGCACTTCAATGGTTAGATGGCCTACACACTGATATTTAGACATAGAACTTTTTGACATTAAATATTTTATTGGGTTCTACTAATCTAGTTGAAATATTAATTTATATTGCTAATCCATGTATGATATGCCATACGCTAAATAAATAATAAACCTGCTAAATCCCTGCAGTCTTTTCAAATAGCAAATTATATTTTAGAGCAATGTTTATCAAGCTGGGCAACTTTAAGGCGGGTGGACTTCAACACCCAGAATCTCTCAGCCAAGCATGTTGAATATATTTTCCTTGAGCAGGCCCAGTGTTTGTCAAACTTGGCCACTTATAGTGGCATGGACTTCAACTCCCAGAATCCCCCAGCCAGCCTCTTAAAGTTGCCCGGCCGGAAACCCAGTGACCCACTTCCGCCGAACACCCTGCCTACTGACCCCAATCCTATTCCTCCCCCCGGGCGCCCTGCGGAGACCTGGGGCTGCATTCCAGGGGCTGCGGGGTCTCCCCGAGGACGCATCTCTCCCCCAGCCCCCCAATCGGGCTGCGCTGGACCCGCCAGCAGCGGCTCACCCAGGTAGTATTTGCGGCAGAGGTTTAGCTTCTCTTCGTTGGAGACGCGCTCCAGGTTCATGGTGCCCACGGCTGGCGGCCCCTCCCAGCCCCGCGGCAGAAGGAGAGCAAAAAAACCCCGCGCTGGAGACGGAGCGGGGCTCGAGGGGGACCCAACCCGCGTCGCTCCGCTCTTCCGACGCCCGCCCGAAGGAGACCCCCTCCTCTCCCTCCCGGCGCAGCTGCTTCCTGGACGAAAGCCCCGCCCCGCCGCGCCCTTCCCCCGCCGCCAGGAACTCTGGGAGCTGTAGTCCGCCAGATGCTGGAAAGGGCCAAACGGGAGATGGGAGGCGAGGGAAAGTGGATACCGGACGCGGGGGGGTCAGCTAGGGTCATCTGAACTCGGCTGTTGGAATTCGCGTTTTCTGGGCTGGCACAACACGTGGGAACAGAAGGGAGCCGCGACGCGCAGTCTCCGCCCGTGCAAAAGCCCAACCCGGGTTTAAAACGAACATAGCCGCCCCTTGGCTTGGAATTGATCAGCGGAAGCGCGTTGTGTAAATAGAGATAAGAGGCACACAGTCCCTGTGAATGGCCTAAAGTTATCTCGCAGGTCGCTTTGGACTACAATTCCTCTTCTGGTCAGTTTTTTTTTAAAAACTAGTTGTGGTTGATAGGACTTGTAATGCGAAGGAGACGCTGCACCCGGCGGTCTTCTCTCGCTCGCAGAAAGCAGGGAAGCAAATCTGAATGATATGCAAGGCGTAACGATCTGCAGCTCACCCCGAGAAAAATAAATTGCTAACTGTTGCTCGATGTCACAATTAGGCAAAAGCAAATCCAACACATTAAAAAAGAAGCCTGTTATTGGAATGGCCTGGATTGTTGTTGTTGTTGTTGTTATTTTTTTATTCCGGAGCCAGTCGAAATCCTCTGCGATTCTACAACTTTGCAAAATCTAACTTTTGAAATCTACAGGGCGAAATCACGCCTACCCCGCAGCATGCTGGGATTTTATTTCTCGTCGGAGAAGAGGATGCCGGAAGTTGTAGTTCTTTTGAAAGGGGGTCACGTGCGGAACTATGTCTTCCCCCCCCCTTTTCTCTGAGCATGGCCCGCGTCGGTGTTTTAACGCAGTTTATCAAACTGGATGTTTTTTAACCATATGTGGACTCCAATTATACCCCAGCCAGTAGCAGGATTCTGAGAAATTGAAATCCATACATCTCAAAAGTTGCCTAATTTAAAAAATACTGGTATAACTCCAAATTTTACAGAGCAAATTGCATAGGTCAGTGGCCCCCAACCTTTTGGGCACCAGGGACCAGTTCTGTGGAGAGAGGTTTTTCTGTGGACCAGGTGGAGTGGGGTTTCACATGTTTCCTGCATCCCATGGATGGGGCTTCGTTTGTTTGTGCAGCCCGGTTGCTGGCATGCCACGGACTGGTGCCGGCCCACGGACCAGGGGTTGGGGACCCCTGGTGTAGGTGACCTCATCCAAATGAAGTAAAATTTCCAGCTCATTTTATGTCCCTGCAGTTTTTGTGACCACATATGGAAGGAGTTTGTCACATGAGTGTCTGCAAGAGTCCAAATGCTGACCTGTGCAATGACGCCTCACAAATGCTGCCATAGTGTTTTTCGGGAGCAAAGTCAGTTGCGTTAGTGCAGTGGTTCTCAACCTTTTTAATGCCACGACCCCAACCGGTCGTAAGTCGAGGACTAAACCGGTCGTAAGTTGAGGACTGAACCGGTCGTAAGTCGAGGACTTTCCCTACCCGGGAGCACCTCGCATGCGTGGTTCCGCCCCCTGTGCCAGCCGAGGCGTAGCTGGCAAGCGGCAGAGACGGAGCAGGCCGACCACCAGCTGGCCCAGCTCAAGGGAGGTAAGGCACCCACCGGAAAAGGGGAAAAAAATGGCGGACAAAAAAAATGGCGGACAGCCTTGCTTGGCGACCCCCGTGAAATGGTTGATCGACCCCAAATGGGGTCCCGACCCACAGGTTGAGAACCACTGCGTTAGTGCAACAAATTGGGTACTTGTGTCTGCTATTTGGATAGCAAGATGCAATGACAATATTTATGTGATGTTGCTGTGCATGTGGTAATTGCACATGGCATGGTTGTGGACACTGTTGTTTTGCCATTGTGTTTTTTCCAGGTTGTTTTTTCAGCCTCCCTGCCTGTGCCTTGCCTCTGCTAATTCAGAACAGCAGGCCTGAACCTTTGACTCCAGATGTTGTCACACAAGGGCTGCTAGTTGGGATGAATTTTACCCTCGCAATACATTCCGAACTTGCGAAAGATGGAGTACATCAGGCGCAGCCAATCTTGGCAACTTTTAAAACTTCTGGACTTCAACTCCCAGAATTCCCAGCCAGCTACTAGAAAAGATATGCACCTAAGTTCACAAGTAATGTGGAAATGCCAGCCCATTGTTTGAAAGTACATCTCTATGTCACTGAGCTTGTAGTGTCTGAATTCTTTAAAATCCTGGCTCATTGTTCTGAGGTTTTTTTCTTTTTTAGGGGAAACAATCTAGAGAAGCCAATTCAAGCAAGGCTTGCCTGGTCAGCTACGTTTAGTGGAAGGAGGCCAATAAGAACTTTCAGGCAGCAATTATATTGAGGCTTTCTTGAGAAAATTCAATAGAATAGAGCTGGAAGGGACCTTGGGGGTCTCCACTTACAACTGATCGCTTATCAACTGTACAACGCTACAACAGACCCCGAAAAAGCTTCTTGTGACCTGGATTTGAAGTTCCAACATCCACGTCCCTCTTCTGCAGTCACATGACCGCATTTTGGGCACTTGGCAACCAGCCCACATTTACAGCATAGCCTTTGCAGTCTCCTGCAGTTACATGACCATAATTTATAATGTTTTTGCCAGAAATTGGTGTTTACTTCTGGTTTCTGACCAAAAAAACCCCACTCCATAGGGAACAATGGGTTCACTTAACGACCACAGCAAAAAAAAGGTTGTAAAATATACACTTAATTTACAACAATCACTGTAAACAGCAGGTTCAGTTAAATCGCAAGTTGAAAACTACCTGTATTCTCAATTCTGTTATAACCAAGGAAAGTTCATTAAATCACAGAACTGCGACTGTCCCTCTCCAGAGGGGTTTGGTTCTACACACTTATAGAAAACACATTCCCCTTCATCCTGAAATTTAAAGCAACTGAAGCCACGAGGATACAATCTTGTGTCAAAATTGCATTTTATTTAAAATTATACCAACAAGAATCCAACCCTTTCCCGTCTGAGTTGACTGAGCATCTTAAATAAAAAAGTGCATAGAAAATAAACAGGTTTAGAAATTTGTACAACTATTTACATCCTCCTGGGTTTGATGTATTTTTTTCTTCTTCTTTAAAACAGAGGATCATCTTGGAGGAAGGAGAAAAACCACAAAATTTAAAAGTACAAAATAAAAGATTGTTCTCGCCCCACAGGATTGGGGAGGTGGGGGGGGGGGAAGAGGAGGAAGGGAAAGAGGTCTATGAAGCAGAAGGGCACAAATAAGAGGTGATTCTTCCCACATTTGCCCTGGATCTCTGCGTCTCATAATTTCAAGCCAAAAAAAAAGAGAGAACCGAGCTGCGGCTAAGAGCTTTCCCTCATCACCCACAACAGTGGCATCCCTGATGCTCTTTGGAGATGATTGAGGCCCTTGGAGTCACACGCTTCAAGGAATTAAAGGGATGAGTCAGCAATGCAGCAGCCCACCAAAAAGGTTATGCCATGATTAAGCTCTCTTCCATCCACTTGGCACGTCCTTCCACTCACTGACACTGGAAAGAGGCCGGGTAAGCGTATGGATCTGGAAAGCCAGGTGAGGGACCAGTCTCTAATTGAGGAAACGACGGCAGCGTTTGGCTCCACAATTGCAAGGGAGTTTGCTGCCGGCGTCTTCAAAGGGGAACTTGTAGTCATAGGTCAGCTCTTCGCCCCGGAAGATCCGGCGCAGGGCGAAAATGACAATATGCTTCTGGCCTTCGACGTGGATGACACGGGAGTAACAGTTGGGCTCGCAGGAGTGGTTGATGAAGCGGGCAGCGTTGCCGTGCATGGTGGCATCCACCACATCAAAGTCATCAATACGGAACATGTAGCATCCAATGCCCTGCAAGGAAGGAAAAGAGTTAAGAGGGGCCCCAGCGGAGAATCCATGGAGCTCAGGGTTGAGTTGTTGGATTCTTGGTGGTGGAGAATTTGGGGCCCTGGTCCTCATGGAGGAGGAGAAAAGTTGGAAATGAGTTCCACTCCATGTTCCAGAATGAAAAGAAAATTTGGTGAACCACAAGCTTGCAGTGATAAAGTTATCTATCTACGACTCAGCCTTCCATCCTTCTGAAGTTGGTAAAATGAGGACCCAGATTGTTGGGGGCAATTTGCTGACTCTAAACCGCTTAGAGAGGGCTGTAAAGCACTGTGAAGCGGTATATAAATCAAAGTGCTATTGCTAAGTGCTATCTAACTCAATAAGAAAATGCCTGCAGGAAGAGAAGCATGCTCAGAGGACATCAAGAATCCAACAGAGCTAAGAGGAGAACAAGTTGGTACCATGTCTATGGAGATTCTCAGTCATCCAGGTCATGGTTGTCCCAAAGGTGCTTTTTCAAGAGGCAACTGGACTTTCTTTGTTTCTTCCTTGAAGATATTTTACTTCTCATCCAAGAAGCTTCTTCAGTTCAGAACTGAAGACACTTCTTGGATGAGAAGTGAAACATCTTCAAGAAACAAAGTCTAGTTGCCTCTTGAAAAAGCACCTTTGGGACAAGCTGGCAACTATGGTACTTCCTTCCCAGCATGCACCACTTTGCTTTACCCTTCCTTCCATCAGCATTACCTTGCTGTCGTAGTACTTTTCACGCTTATCGGTGAGCACCGAACGGATGACAATGCCGGAGTACTCAATCACCATCTCGCCTGCGTCAATGTTGCGCTTGCAGAACAGGCCCCGCCCATGGATGGCTGACCTAAAATGGAGAGAACATCTGACAGGTGAAAACTAACAGAGGGGATACGAATTAGCCCAGGAAGATGGCAGGAGTTTTGCTTTCTGAAACCCTGAAACAAACACAGAACACAGCTTTGCCTACATCTTGTCTGGAGGACTTAAAACGTTTGATTGGTGATTTCGAGGCTAAAATATATGAAGAACGGTTGCAGGAATTGGGTATGTCTAGTTTAATGAAAAGAAGGACTAGGG